AAAGGAGTAAATAAAATTTTGTCTAACAGATTCATGCCAAAACTTGGATGGAAGCCCCTCAAAGTCTAAGAATCTTGTTAGCATAAACTGGTACCCATCTCTCTAAATCTATGACTAGATTTACTGCTTCCCAGCAGGTATTTTAAATCACCTTTCCAACCTGAAGAGAGAAACCCAGGAAAGTAACAAGGTTCAAGTCCCCAAATGGTAAGATAAACAGCCCCTACTATAAGCTTACTACTCATAAACTAAAAATTGGAGGTCACACACTACTTCATTCTAATTAGCAGGTAAAATGAGATTTTCTGGTGGCAATGGTCACTCCATGTGAGGTTTAACTTACAGGGCAATAAATTATCAAAGTTACTCAGAGCATATGATTAATGTCAAAAACCTATTTATATTATGAATCACGCCATTTATTGATATTTTTCATTATTAAGAACACAGAAGCTTTGAGAAAGCATACTGCAAAACCATTTTGTTGAAAATAGCAACATATCCAACTGAGCATCAACATTTCGATGTCATTAACTTGAAATAGATCCTGGTGGCAACGTACTCTAAAACCAGTGACTCTGATAGGAAAGAAAAGCAGAATGGCAGGGAATGGTTCCAGATCAAGAATCTCTCCCTTATCAGTTAAAATGCCCATATTGAAGCCATGAAAAAAGCAAATAAAAAAGATTTTAAGGAAGGGAGAATTCACTTCCAGGTCAGAATTTATCTAATGATTTGAAATGTTTCCCATTTTATTTACCACATCTAATAAAATGAATGATTCATGGTAGGCTCAGTTAGATTAATAAGTTATTTTAATGGAGATAAATGTTTTATGTTCAATCTAGCTTAGCTTGACTTATTCTTATTTGAAAACCCAAGTGACCTTATAAGGGATATAAATCTTAGGGCATTTTGATCTTTATAGAGGAAATACCATTAAGCAACAAAATCTTGCAGTCTGTTGCAACAAAATTAAGTGCAAGGCAACTTCCCATATGTTAATAAATATGTGACTGTTCTTAGGCAAAATACTACCATTAGTATTTGTATCTCTAATCCTATAAGTAAATGTGGTTATTTTTTTAAAATACTTTACAGAAATGCCAAATTGTTTTATTAATGTAGTTCCTATTGGATTACCCAATCTACTTTCAGATCATATGTCAGAGAAAGGCCTGTACCAAAAATCATGTTCATGAGAATGACTGAGGTCCTATGCAATAATACAAGAGCCTTCTGTAGGCCAAAAAGGGGAGAGGGGTGTCATGGAGCTAGCCATTCTATATTTGGAATAAAAGCATTCTTAAGTAGACAGAAAATGAGCTATAAAAATGATGTTTGCCTCAAAATCTTCCTTTGTATATTTATAAAAATTTTAAAATGTTACCATTAAAAGAGAAGTGAATTTCTTAAACGTAGCCAATTTTATTAAAATCATGACTAATTTCCAGAGAATGGATGTTGAAAAATTAGGAACAGAGAATGAAAAAGTATAAAAGGATTAAGAGTTTCTAATTAAGGGTTCCATATCATTATATCCAGTAACTTTAACCACAAGTTCACTTCAACAGGAAAACTACCAAGTTAATCATAATCTCTATGAAAAATACTCTTGATTCTAAGTGGCCTCTCTAGCAGGACTGACACACAGATGAGTCAAAGGTCAAAATAACCATCATTAAAATATCAAATTTCTCATAACAGGAGAAATCAACATATTGGCTTGGTATTCTCTGCTGGTTACTTTCCGGACTAAGGAATATTCTTGCCAGTATTCTAAAATGTGTACAGTGCAATTAAGTTTCATGACAATAACTGAAGTGCTAAGCAAGGCAAACCAATAATAGTTGAATATTCACAGTACACAGATGTCTTTAAGTAGCCTTTTCATCAAGGCATCTATTTTTGGAAAACTGCCATGTTCATCAGAGGGTTGATTCTTCCCACTCTCACTTACTTTTTTACACATTACTTATTCATTAATCTGCATCCTATATTTACTATTAAGTAGTTAAGTGAAAGAGGGCAAGAAAGAGAACGACACAATGGAGATACACTGTGTAGGATAAGTTTTAAAAGTCAGCCTAACTGAATCTGAAAAAGTTGTTTCTGCCAAAAGTAAATTTTACAACTTACACAAAACGATTTCCTAACAATTGCTCAGTGAGTGAAGTGCTTTGTTTAAGCACACAGGTAAAATAAAACTTAACTCTGGTGTCAGTGAAATATTTGGTTCTCATTAATTACATTTTAGTCATACTCAACAATGTACAGGAATACTGCATTAAGTTTTTTAAATTAATGAATTGTGTTTAAAAGATCATTACTAGATCTATAACCATTATACTCTCCTTTTTGTAGATTTTAGTCAAGTGAGGTTAGTTATTAGGCAAATGAAACCTGGACACAAAAAAAGCAAAGGAACTGATTAGCAAGTATACTTTTAATTAACCTAGGGATAATATATAATAAAGAGGAGACTAGAAGCATAAAATTTTGGAGTGGAAAGGACTTCAGAGATAATCTAATTCAGTGATCTACAATCTGTGGGTTCCTAGAGTTTTTGCAAGAGTCTGCAATTCCATATGCACATTTACATTTTCTCCATCAATGAAATAAATATTGATACTTAACTCCATAGTTCCCCATGTCTGCCATATTTTAAAATCACAAGTTCTTTTACTTGAACAGACTAAGAACTCTTGATCTAGTCCAATATGCTGTGAAGTAGTAGCAGAGCTATTACCCAACTGCACTTATGCCTACATACAGTGCCCCTTCTGCATATCATATCATATATAATATATATTTAATTTGTACCTAGGTAGAGAAATTCAATCTTTCCTTCACTTTCAGTTGCTAGTGGCTCCCTCTAGTATTTTCCTAAGTGTTCAAGTGAGATCCCTGCTAGCTAAAATTTTAGTCCTGGGAATCAGTAATCCTTTCCTTTTTTGTGTATTAGATATGCCTTACTGATAAACGTCATGCCCTAAGTAGTTACAAAAGTTGCAACTAAAAAATACAGGTGAGTCAAAAGAAAATTTGAGCTACAGTATTTGCCACTTTTCAGTTTTACATTTTTGTGAAGACTGTCCTAACTGAAGCGTGTACTATTCGTTCCCCTTTCTAAACGTCTACTGCAATTATAGTTCAGCCCCAGAAATGTAAGCATTTACAGTTCTCCAGTTATCTCATGTGTAGTGTTTCTCCAACTGGGTAAAACAGGCAGGAACTACATCTTAGATTTCAAGATGTTTACAACTTTGATTAAGAACTCATTAAATTACTGGCTTACACAGTCAAGGAAGAATTTTACAGATTATTTTAAAAGATATACATAAAAGGATTTAATAATCTGGTATAGGTGGGATGCAGAAAAGATAGTTATATCTTTTCTGAAAAGTGGTTTAAAAAAAGATAAAATTCGTTTTTACCTTTCTATTTATTCTTAGCAAATAATGCCACATAGTTACTTTCCTTTCACATTTTTATCAGTCCATCATTTCAAGAAAACAATAATCCGTCCCTCAAAATAATGGGAATTTATAGGCATAGCAGAAATCCCACCAGCTTTACGGAAACATAACCAAATGATACCTTACAGAGCCAAACAAAAGAAAGATAACTTTTCGGACTGATGCCCGTTAGAGGAGATAGCAGCATGGGAGTGAAAAGAGCATGGACTCTGGATGCCAATTTTGATTTTGCCACTTACTGGCTGTGGCATCCTGAACAAGTTCTCTGAACTTCAATTTTATTTCTTATCTACAAAACGGGGGAAATGTTCATTTTATGGAGTTCTTATAAAGATTAAGAGAGAATGTGTATAAGGTAGCTACTACATGCTAATTACTCAAAATTAGTTCCATGTCTTCCCTCACTTGACTGTTCTTTCTCTTCTCTGGTTTCTTCCTAAATCAATTTCAAAAGAGGTTTCCTGTCATTCTCCACCCCAACCCCCCCCCCCCGCCCCGCCCAGATTAGTTTTCATTTTATCTCCCTGTATTTGTCACATCACTTACTCTCAAAATCTACCTTGTTATTTTCCTCCATACCTTTTATCTCTTTCAAGCTGTTTCCAATACCTACAAGGAAAGACTATTTTAAACTAATTTTTAATTATCTTACTAACCTCATTTAATCTATTCAATGAAACTTCTCCTCCAAAAAGCAAAGGAATTTGCAGAGAAAATAAGACAAACTAGAGGAAGTATACTCCCTAAGTGGATTAAGTTCTTGAGTAAAGCAATATTCCTTATTCACTCTTCCCATGTACAATCTATAATCCCTCCATCCCATTGGCCTCTATATCAAGCCCAGAATAATTATACTCCTGCCTCAAAGTAAAATAAAAACCTTTAGATCTTATACTCTAAACATCCCAGCTGTCTCTGAGTCAATATCTCTTGCCCCATCTCTTTAATATGCTTACTTAAATCCCTTTATATATATACTTGGTCATTTCACAGTTGAAAAAGTCACTTTGGTTTCTCATGCATGGATATGCTAGGACTGAGCTTATCAAAAGGAACTAAATCCTATCATTAATGAGCTTGTTGTCTCAGGTTCCCTAGGTATGTTTTATAAAGAGAAGCTAACAGGTAAAAGAATAAAATAGAGTCCTACAGGGAAAGTTCGTGACTTCACATTTTTGACAGATTTGGGCTTTAGCTGTGACTTTGCTGAGTGGAGATAGGTGCCATCATAGCACCCAAACTAGGCGTACCCTCACTTCTTACCCTGTACCTCCCTGAATTTTTAGATTCTCGACCTTGTCTACTACCAACAGTCTTTTTACCCTCTAATGCATCTTTGATAGTATACAGCTCTATTCCTTAGATAGTAAGTCTATTATCCAAGTTCAGATACAATTGAGGAATTAACATGAAAACCATTATTTCCTCAATAATTCAGAAGCTGCTAGTTAGCCTCAAAAGTCTATAAAAAAACACCAAAGTGGTATTACTCAGTCACCAATCTAAAGAGAGAACTTTGACTCAAGATATAAATGAAACTGTAATTATATAAATATATTTATAAATATTTATACAATTATATACTTATACATAAGCACTTACACACACTTAGAAAAAATGTAAGAACATTAATCCAAAAGGACTCACTGAAGAATAAACAGAATTTTCCATGATTTCCTTGAGGAGAAACATTACTCATTCTTTAGGGTGGGTCCCTCAAAATTCAACCATTAGAAATCATATTCTCTAATTAAGTACTAGCAACACATAAGCATGTTTTTTTAAAATCCCCTAGTTACCAAGAGAGTGATCTTAAAATAGATGGAAACTTAAAAGGTCTCTGAGCAATAGCAATTTATGTTCCTCAAGTAGAAGGATCAATCTAAATCCCCAACTGATTAAATAAGGTCCATTTTATATTACGGTTTTATAGCAAGTTAAAGTTCTGATTTTGCCACCAGAATCACCACTACCCCTTCAGAAGACTAACGCTCAAAATAAGAACTAAGCATATAATGAAGCTGATAAGTTGAGTAGTGTTATGGAGATTCAAGATGGCATCTTCTAAACAATACTGAAAAAAGCTTTCACCAACTACAATTTGAATGTGGCTTTTGTAGGCAGAAAAAAACCCCACAAGACATGAAGACTACTGGCAATCTTCCCCACCTCCCTTACTAAATGTTGTCTTATGGATTTAATTTAAAGGTTTTCCCCTTAGGCTTTCAATTTTGAGACCTTTTGCAAGAAAAAGCATGAGGATTTAAGCTCATTTAGTCACCAGAGCCTTTAGAGACTGTTCAACCAGGGGTAATAAATGAATCATTATTTCTAACCAAAGGAATATGGTTAGCTACTCTCAGCTGCATCTTTTTCTTTTTCCCCCAGGATATACATAAGTATGCCTAAAGCACATAGGACAATCAATAACCATAGTGGTTAAACTACAAGCCACTGTTTTGCATGATTATTGAATAGCTGCCTTCCTATAGATCACTTGTGGACCCAGACAATGGAAGGGCCGAAGGAACTAATATGCCGTACTGGCAAAAAACAGCAAGTACCTTCCTATCCCAGTCACCACAATATGCTCACTAAAGGTCCACTCTGGGACTAGCAGGATCAATATAGTTTATAGAGTAGTAACGAAGAAAGTTGTCTCAGGCTAGGGTATTGAATGCCAACCCATGCTACTCACCCAACATTTAACACTCATTTTGCCAATAACACATCTCATGGAAATAATTCTAGCTTGGGAGGGTGGGAATCCTTCGAAATGATTTTTAAATGAGATGAATAATTATTACAAGGGATGTTTTTTCCATGTAAATAAAAGCCTGGATATTCTGTTGTGATATTTGTTATATGAACAACAAAACAAAACATGTTAGAGAATTGCTTTTTCCTACTAAAAACAGGGCTTACAAAAAAGGGAGGTTGTTCTTATTCTGAATCTAGCCATTCCTTTACCAAAGGAGTCTGAGGAGTAGTAACATTATCATTTGATCCCGAAAAAGTGCCATGCAAGAGACCACTTATTGGAACACTCATTTCCTGCTGCCAGTACTAGGAGGTGTTATCCTTATACTTCCATTTGGTCACCTGATTAGGTAAGAAAGAAAGAAAAGTAGGAAAAAGACAAAAATAGGATAGGAGAGGGAAAAAAAGGGGGTAGGAAGTGAAAAAGACTTATTACAGGAGAGAGCAAGGAATAAAAGAGAAGGCAGGTGACTTGCTTGCCCAACTTTGGCTCTATGGTCCTATGAACCAAAATGCATACTCAGTGACATGGTATCTCACAGGAAAAGGGAAAAAAGGGGTAAGCTGAGAGAGGTCGGGCCATGATGTTAATTTCTTTCCTGTACAAAGACAGTCTCTTGAGGACAAAGGCCTGCCTCTTGTAATGTAATGTCATAGTCCAGATGAGAGAGTTTCCTTCGAGGGAAGTTGGTGAGAAGTTCAAAACGTTCATTTGGATATCCTTTAGACTGGACATGCTTCACCAAAGCCTATGAAAAACAAAAGACAGAATTGTTAGATGGAAATAGAGTATATTAAAGAATTACATATACTATATCATTCATTTTAAAAAGATAATTTTTATATATGTTTTCATTGGTTTTAGAGAGACAGGGAAACGGAGATAGAAACATTGATGAGAGAAAAACATCGATTGGCTGCCTCCTACAGGCCTCCGATCTGGGATCAAGCCCAAAACCTAGGCATGTGCCCTGACCAGGAATTGAACTGGTGACCTCTTGGTGTTTGGGTCAACACTCAACCACTGAGCCACACCAGCCAGGCAATATAACATTCTTTTTAAAAAAGTATGTTTTATTGATTTGAGAGAGAGAGGGGAAGGGAGAGGAGAAAGAGAAACACAGAAACATTGATAAGAGGGAAACATCAACATTGATTGGCTGCCTCCTGCATGTCCCCTTGGGAATCAAGCCCACAACTCAGGCATGTGCCCTGACTGGGAATCGAACCCTGACCTCCTGGTTCATGAGTTGATGCTCAACCACTGAGCCACACTGGTCAGGCTAACATCAAGTTTTATCACATTAGATAAAATATGAAATTTAAGTTATTCTTTCAGATAACCAAAGCTTACTCTTGTGGAAGGGCCAATATAACACTTTGAATGGGGAGATAATAAACGTACATTAAGTGATACTGAAATATACAGGGTTATTACTATTTTCTCAATAACAAACCCACTATCTATTTATAAAATTATTGTCCTCAGTTTTAAACATTTGATTAGTTTTCCCTTCCATCTTTTTATCGGCAAAGATATGTCTTTCATTCTACCTATAGCCAATCTTGCCACCTGTGTACTAAATCTCTTCTTGCCTTCTCAGAAACCATGCCACTACCGAACATCCCTGCTTTTATAGGTATCGTCTACATCTCCCTCTACAGATGCTTCCCATCAGACTTTAAACATGCTCAGTCTCTCCTTCAATCATCCCCCTCCCCCTCTAATTACTGCATACCCCACCCCTCTCAAGCTTCACAACCAAACTTCTCAAAAAAAGTTCCATCCGCTGTCTCACCTCACATTCCCTTCCAAATATGAGACCTGGGAAACAGTCTGGGTATCAGCACCAGCAGTCAGATCCGACTTGCATTCCAGGCACACAGTCCTCAAGAATCACTCTCTCTCTCACCACAGAAAACAGCCAGGTAAAAATACCTGACCCAAAGGGGATTCATTCACAGGTATCTGATAAAAAGATGGAAGGGACTCAAGAAGCAGAGAATTACAACGGGGAAACCAAACAGGCCTGAGGATAGAAACACAAAAAACAACTGCCTTGGTTCTTAACTATTTTGTAGGTCTAGCTACAAGAAAGCCAGAAGCCCCATTATAGTCTTCACTCCTCTTTTCCGGGTAATAATTTCCAGTTGGAAATGAAATGCAGCCATGGAATAGAACAGCCTTGTCTGGAACAGACCCTATGTGACTTGTCTAACATAATTCAGGAAGGAAATATACTAATTAGAATTCAGATTAACCTGTTAAATTTCCTTAGAGGTCAGACTGAATACCTAACACTTATTTCAAAGAACAAGCCAATTACACCAATTAATTAGTTTCTCTCCTTTAAGCCAGCACTTAAATTAGATATACTTACTAGCAATTTAGCTTGCTCTGGAAGAGTGATTTGTTCCCTTTTTCCATCTGGATACCGCAACATCAGCTGTGCTTTTGGTCCTGGGGTTAAAAAATATATATATATATACAGGAGTTTAAGATGGAAGACTAATTAAAACAAATAAATAAACATTCCTTCAGTAATATTCAAGTTTCAAGTAAAGTAGGTCCAGAACATAACTCACCATTTACATCTATGCCCTCCACTATTCCATCTGATTTTTCAGGTGACATCTCCAATATTTCTGAATCCATGACTGACAATCCTTGGTGGTTTGTTGTTGTTACAGGCTCAGTTCTGGGTGGGGGCTCAGTTAGCAGCCTTCTGTTTTCCTCTTTTCTATGCCCCAAATCTTTATGGGGAGACTTTCTGGACTTGGCAAGATTCTCTATTTCCTCTTCTTCATCAGAGCCACAAACGGATATAAATTCCTCACTGCCAGAAAAAAGTTCAGATTCAGACTCTTCATCTGAGCGGCTATCCTGTTTTGTCTGTGATGAATCAAAATGTGTCTCTTGCAAGGAGGCTCTGATGGCAGCTTCTAGCTGGCTGTCTTCACTTGCATCTATAAGACTCTCCTGCAAGACGCAGTCATAAAACACGGGTGGAAAAAGAAAGAAAACAGTTAAACCAAAAAATAGTCAAGCCAGACAAGGCACAAGAAATATGATAGTCAGTTTGCCATTATTATTCTCTACTACTAGTAAATGTATCTCTTCTACTAAATTTTCAGCTAGTTGAAGGCAACAGTTTGTCTTACACAGCCAAGTTGGAATGGATAGTTTAAAAACAAAAATAAAAACTGTCATACCACCTGGCATAATGATGTTGCAAGCATAGGGGAATTTTTTAGATCAAAATGAATAAAATTAAGAAAACAGTATAATGACTACCCAGAAAAAGACAAGAATTAAGGTTTTGGGAGAAACCAAGATGGCGGCATAGGTAAACACCGGAGTTTGCTGCCTCGAACAACCACTTCAAAAATACAACTAAAAGACGGAACGGACATCATCCAGAACCACAGGAAGGCTGGCTGAGTGGAAATTCTACAACTAGAAGGAAAGAGAAAAGCATACCAAGACTTAGAGGAGGCGCAATGCGGAAGTAAAATACTAAGGTACAGAGGCGCACACAGAGCGGGCTGGTGGCTGAGGACACGGTTGTCGTTTTCAATCGGGAGGGAGTCTCAGGCTCTGAGCTCCAGTTCCGGGCAAGTCTCTGGGGACCCAGACTCATATGGGAGAAGCGGGACTGTCTGGCATCGGTCGGAACTCGAGGGCAGCTTTCTCTCGGAGGGGCTTGCAGCCATTGCCAAGACACTGAGAAGTGGGGCCTCTGAGAGTGGCCATTAACTGCTAGCCCCGCCCTGTTGATCCCATGGGACCCACCCCGCCCAAGCCCTGCAGGGAGGCTTTTGCTGGATAGCCTAAGGCAGAGGCTAGATTAGCACCTCCCTAGAGATCCAAGAGCCAATGTACCCAGAGGTCAGAGTGGGACCATCCAGTTTGCAGCTCCGTGGAACCATAAAGGACACACTCAGGGGGCAGACTCAGTGAGCACCAAAGCCCCACTGAAGCAAGTCTTGCCCCGGAGGGGTGTCTCCAGAACAGAAGTTCTCCCACTGCAGACACAGCTGATTCTCACAACCAATTGGCCTGGAGGTCAATTCCTCCCAGTGATACCTACAACAATCAAGGCTTAACTACAACAAGACTGGGCACAAAGACCACAAGGGGGTGCACCAAGAGTGTCCTCCTCAGGTAATTGGGGAGGCTGAACCACTGGGCCCTAGAGGACACTTAGCACAGAAATCCACTTTATCAACACAGGGAAGCATAAAAAATGCGGAGACAAAGAAAAAGGACACAAATGACAGAAATGGAGGAAAGCAAACTACTGGATATAGAGTTCAAAACCACACTTTTAAGGTTTTTCAAGAATTTTCTAGAAACTGTCGATAAACTTAATGAGACCTACAAGAAATCTAATGAGACCCTTGAGGTTGTGATAAAGGACCAACTAGAAATTAAGCATACACTGACTGAAATAAAGAATATTATACAGACTCCCAACAGCAGACTAGAGGATCGCAAGAATCAATTCAACGATTTGAAATACGAAGAAGCAAAAAACACCCAACCAGAAAAGCAAAATGAAAAAAGAATCCAAAAATACAAAGATAGTGTAAGGAGCCTCTGGGACAGCTTCAAGCGTACCAACATCCGAATTATAGGGGTGCCAGAAGAAGAGAGAGAGCAAGATATTGAAAACCTATTTGAAGAAATAATGACAGAAAACTTCCTCTACCTGGTGAAAGAAATAGACTTACAAGTCCAGGAAGCGCAGAGAACCCCAAACAAAAGGAATCCAAAGAGGACCACACCAAGACACATCATAATTAAAATGCCAAGAGCAAAAGACAAAGAATCTTAAAAGCAGCAAGAGAAAGAAACTCAGTTACCTACAAGGGAGTACCCATACGACTGTCAGCTGATTTCTCAACAGAAACTTTGCAGGCCAGAAGGGAATGGCAAGAAATATTCAAAGTGATGAATGCCAAGAACCTACAACCAAGATTACTTTATCCAGCAAAGCTATCCTTCAGAAGTGAAGGCCAGATAAAGAGCTTCACAGATAAGAAAAAGCTAAAGGAGTTCATCACCACCAAACCAGTATTATATGAAATGCTGAAAGGTATCCTTTAAGAAGAGGAAGAAGAAGAAAAAGGTAAAGATACAAATTATGAACAACAAATACACATCTATCAACAAGTGAATCTGAAAATCAAGTGAATAAATAATCTGATGAACAGAATAAACGGTGAATATAATAGAATAAGGGACATAGAAAGGGAGTGGACTGACTATTCTTGGGGGGGAAAGGGGTGAGGGGGATGCGGGAAGAGACTGGACAAAAATCATGCACCTATGGATGAGGACAGTGGGGGTGGGTGAGGGCGGAGGGTAGGGTGGGAACCGGGTGGAGGGGAGCTATGGGGGGAAAAAGGAGGAACAACTGTAATAATCTGAACAATAAAGATTTAATTAAAAAAGAAAAAAATAAAGAAGAAAAACACCTAAAAACCAGAGGGAAAGGAAGGTGGGGGAAGGTAGAAAACGGTATAGGAGGGATAAAGGGTGATGGCAGGAGACTTGACTTTGGGTGGTGAACACACATTATCCTATCTAATAAAAGAGAAACATGGTAATTAGCGTACGACCGCTACCCTTCCCATTGGCTAATCAGGGAGATATGCAAATTAACTGCCAACAAAGATGGCGGTTAATTTGCATACTTAGGCGCAATGATGGGAGGCAAAAGGGGAAAGAGGAAGAACGGTGGCAGGCAAGAGCTGGGGGGCGGGCTGCCTTTGCCCGCCCCCCCAGCCAGTGATCGCCATTGGAAAGCCCGGCAGCAGGCCAGTTAACACCCCCGGCCTGGGGTACCGGTGATCGCCATGGCATCGGAGGAAGAGAGAGCCGGGTGGCACACCCCCCCGGCCCGGGGGGGGCCCCGTGCCCTCGGGCTCCCTTTTTTTTTCCATAGGAAAAAGAAAAGCCCGGCCCCCCGGAAAATGCCACCCCCATTTCCAGGGGGGGAGCCTGTGCCTCCATTTCCCTTGTTTTTCCATTTTTAAAAAAAAAAATTGTGCCCCCTGGACGGCTGCACCCCAGGCCGGGTGCAGCCGTGCCTGCGACCCGGATATGCAATCCTGAAGGGAAGGGGCGGGGGCAGCAGGCATGGCAGCACCCCTGGGCACCAGGTGTAGGCCCAGGGTGCAGCCGAGCCTGCGGCCCTCTCGAAGGGAGGGGCCCCTGGTATGCGATCGCGAAGGGAGGGGCGGGGCAGCAGGCATGGCAGCATCCTGGGCTCCGGGTGCAGGTCCAGGGTGCAGCCTGCCTGCGGCCATCTGATCTGAGATGCGAAGGGAGGGGCAGGGCCACAGGCAAGGAGGCACCCAGGGCACCGGGTGCTGAGGTGCCTGTGGTCCCCTGATCTGAGATCAGGAAGTGAGGGGTGGGGTCCCAGGCACAGCTGCACCCGGGGTACCTGATCGCATCCCCAGCGACGAGGCAGGGAGGGACCCAGAACACTCGGAAGCCGTCCTGCCTGGCCGCGGGGGACCTGATCGCATCCCCAGCAGCGAGGCAGGGAGGGATCCAGATTGCGGAAGCCGTCCTGCCTGGCTGTGGTGGAACGATCATGTCCCTGGCGATGAGGCAGGGAGGGTCTCAGAACACGCGGAAGCCAGGTCTTTATTTATTTATTTATTTTTTAGATTGTGTAATTATTTATTACAAATAAACGGTGGTTTCACATCTCTCAAAAACAGGTCCTGTTTTTACATGTGTGTACAGGTTCTGATGTACAAGAAAGGGTCATGTGCTTAGTTCGTCCATGCAAAGCTCACAGGTACATCACTAATTACTTTAAAAATAGAATGATCTCTTTTTGAACCAATCTGTTTAGATTCAGGATTAGTAAAACAGTATGGCACTAATGAAATACAGTGATAGGAATTAGGAAGTGCGACACTGATGGTTCTGGGCATGTGAAGGGTATACATGGCCTTCCCTTCAGTTCTGCTGGAGAGATGAGCTCCGAGGGCCCAAGCTGCTCCATGCCCAGAGGAGGTGGGTGTGGTCAGTGGCTCTGTTTCAGAACTTCTTGCCAAGCAGAGAGCTTACCCGTCCCACAGGAACCTTTTTACTCCAGAAAACAGAAACAGCCAGTTCCCAATGTGCATGGGAAAACCAGTGTACCCTCCTGTGCACGGTGTCCTGATGGGGTGACGGGGGAGGTGGGCGAGGGGAGCAGTGCAGAGTTGTTAGGCAGCTGGAGTGGGAGTGGAAAGGCCATGAAATGTCCACAGTCCTGGCTGTGCCCATGGCCTGGGCTGCTCCTCCAGGCCCTGGCTTAGGGATTAGGGCTGATTCTCTCGGGAAGGGAATATTCCATGGGTGGAAGATTTACAGGCTCAGGGTGGGCCGTGTGTTAGTTTGGGGCAAATCCCTCAGCATTCCTGCTGCCAAGCCCTCAAAGGAATGAGGCAGAGGCACCCCTCACCCCCAAGACCCCTTCGTGGACATTTTAGCATCTACATGATTTTTAATCCCTTCAGGGAGACTTTCTATCCTGCAGTCCCATCCCACCCCACTGTTGCTGTTTGTCTGCCAGCTGGGTCGAGCATCAAGGGGAAGGGGGGTTTATACTTACTGAAAGACTACTGACCCTACCGGGAAACCAACCTGTTTACTGTACTGTTGTAAATATCATACCCTTTATATCCTGTATATTGGCTTCTTTTAAATAAAGTGAAATGTCTTAGAAAAAAAAAAAAAGGCAAGGCAGGGTGGGACCCAGAGGACCCATATGGGGAGTGCCACTCAGCCAGAAGCTGGCTCATGGCTGGACAGTGCAGTGGTGGTGGCAGGAGCCTCTCCCACCTCTGTGGCAGCACTAAGAATGTCCAACTAATGGTTTAGACCTGATCCCTTGGGGGCCTAAGCCTTTAGTTGGACATCCCCCAAGGGCTCCCTGGCTGCCAGAAGGATGTCTGACTGCAAGGTTAGGC